AGGTGAATACAGTTAGGATGAGTCTGGGTTTCTCTAACTGTGCTACTGCTCTAAATAACAAATTATGGGTCTTCTGGAGAGGGGACAGACTTATTCTCACCCAGGTCCAAGAGTTCACTCAGATGTACACTTGCCATTTCTGGGACAGCAATCTTAACACAAAATGGAGCATTACCTCAGTTTATGGGAAACATACAGGAATCCAAAGAAGAGAACTGTGGTCGGATCTCATAAATAACATCATTAAAGAACATTTTTGGATAGTTGGAGGTGATTTCAATGCAATAAGCTCTTTGGATGAACATAAAGGTGCTACAACCCCCTCTCTTGCTGACCTGAATGAGTTCAAGGATTGCACTGAAGCCATACCCCTCCTTAGCCCTCCCTTCTCAGGGGGCATATTCACATGGAGTGGAGTAAGGAGTAGGGGCAAAATCTGGAGAAGACTTGACAGAGCCCTAGTGAACACTTTTACTATGAATTTCTTCACTGAAATCAACATCAAACATTGCAGCAAAGCGTCCTCTGATCACAAGGCTCTAATTCTCCTATGCACCATAGATAACTACACTGGGGCCAAACCTTTCAGAAGTCAAGATTTCTGGTTCAATCACCACTGTTTCTTCAGGGTGGTGAAAGAATATTGGGTTAATCAGCCCATGACTGGAGGGATGAAAGGCCTTGCTACAAAACTAAGAGGGCTCAAACCTATTCTTAAAGCCTGGAGTAAAGAGACATTTGGAGACATCTTTCAGGCGGTCAAGGATGCAGAAAGCAAAGAAATGAAAGCGCAGGAAGATTTTGAAGGCAACCCAAGAGATGAACTAAGAACTCTAGCCAACAAAGCAAATGCTGAGCTTATTGAAACTACCAATAGAGAAACCCAATACTGGAAGCAAAAGGCACACATTAAATGGATGGAACTAGGTGATCAAAGCACTTCTTACTTCCATTCATATGTGAAAGGCAGAAGAAGCACACTGAAGATCACAAGCATTTTGGATGGAAATGGAAAGAAGACTTTGGAGGTAGAGGCTATTAAAAAGGAGGTAGAGGTTTATTTTAAGGAGGTGTTCAGTGCCTCCAAGAACATTGATCCTGGTCATATCCTTGATCATATCCCTAACTTAATTAGCCTTGAGGACAATAATTTCATGTGTAGGATACCAGATGAAGAGGAAATTAAACAGGCAGTTTGGGATTTGAACCCTAACAGTGCAGCTGGCCCTGATGGCTTTAATGGTAACTTCTTCAGAGAATGTTGGAGCATTATTAAAGATGATGTTGCCAAGGCTACTCAGGAATTCTTTATTGGTGTTCCAGTTCCTGTAGCCTATGGCA